TAATTTCATCTTGAACTTTTGCCTATATACAACCCAATCACTAACATATTTCATTGTAGGACCATGAACATCACTATCCGGTCCTTGCCTCTATGGCACGCGATTTCCTAGCAATTCCAGCTTCATCTGCAACTGTGGAAAGATCTTTTTCCGCTGCTGCTGATGTATGCTCAGCAAATCGAGGTCGGTTGGCGCCACATACTATTGAGCGAAATGTAGGTTGCCTCTTGTGGCTTCGTGAAAAGGTTGCAATGGTTGGGGATTGGATGACTGTGGCTGGAGTTCTAGCTAAGAATGCTGCAAAGGGAATTATAACTTGAATATCTTTGTATAATAGTGATTTTATCAAATAAATTCCAAACTTCAGTGCGAAGAAGTGCCGCTAACCCGCTTTTTAGCGGCTTAGCGTACAATTTTCCGTTAAGCTATTTCTCAAGCTTAGCGGGTGCCTTTTTTTCCCGCTAAGTTTTTTCATCAGCTTTAGCGGGAGCGCGCTAAGCTTTTTTTTTAGCGGCTCGTGCCTTAGCTGATGCTTGCTAAGCTAAGCAAAGGTTGGGATATTCCTTAGCTTAGCTTAGCAAGCCACCGTTGTTATAAGCTAAAAGCTTCATTTGGAATAACACTTTTGTGTTGAGTTAATTTCTCTGGTGCCTTATTATCAAGATACTTTTCTCTATTATCAAAGTCCTGGTTATTTTTCCCTGTTATCAGGAGACTTTAACAACAAAGTCCAGTTTGTTAAAGATTCTCAGAAAGAGCAGTCACAGACACCTTCTGTAAAGTTATTATATTTGCAGATTATCCTCTTTCAAAGCACTGTATAGCCCTTGTTGTGCTATTAGTACCACAACGGTTGGTAATCCATCCTTCATAGAACAGTCTTCCTCCAGCGATGAGATTTTGTTTAAGAGATGGAACGAATAAACAGTTGTTGAGAATTGTGATATCACCCGTTGGTCCAAAGATTTTGACGCTTCCTCTTCCTTTAATTTTGAGGGTAGCAGGTCCACCAGCCAATCCAACTTGTTCACTAGCGGATGATAGGTCAATAAAGTTGTCCTTTTTGAAGTACTTCATCGATTTGAACATGTGATGAGTAGTTCCACTATCGACGATACCGAAATGCTCGTTTTCGATTGTTGCTTTTGGATCCACTATGTAGACGGCGCTAGCGCTTGCTGAGAAATCAGATTGATCAAGCGCGGCTTGAAGTGATGATAGTGACGGTAGATCAGGGACTTGAGTAGCAAGGGAAGAAGATGCGGTAACAGAATTCGCAGAGTTTGATTGATTTGAAGGCCTCGGTCTTTCCACCCATTCACCTTTTGCTTTCTTAGCTTCTACCCAAGCATTGTACTTATCAATGTTTTTAGGATTTCTGATGCAGGCAGCACGAGTGTGTGTTAATGATACACATTCCTTAGGCAAACACCTGGTTTGAACGTAGTTTTGGCGTTTTCGCATAGGACTAGCGGCACTTGATTGGACGGTTGGAAAAGAAGGCGTGGTTGGGTGTAGCATGGCCCGATTAGTTATACGAACCTTGAGAGCAGTGACAATGTTATCATATTCGAAGATATTGCTGTCGGCAATGTCCTCAGCAACTTTCATCCAGTCAGAATTTAGAGACATTAATAATTGTTGACCTAATTCTATGCTTCCTATCTTTCCTCCTGAGCTAGTATAGGCGGTATAAAATCGGTTGAACTCATCCATATGAACGGGTAATAATGAATCACCTTGAGTGAGATTAAAAAGAAGTCTCCTCGAGAGCATTTGATGAGCTGACGTTCAAGGAGAGTGATGATCACGGATTTTTATCCACAATTTACTTGGAGCTGGTTCAATATCAGGACCAATAGCTGTTTCAATAGTTATCGAAGGTTCAAAACGATTTCTATTAGGTTGGTCTATTTTGGATATCATCCAAGTAGTGAGTGATTCTTTGACAACTTTGTTAAATAGTTGTAGATCGGGGTCGGATGTGGGTTCTTCTTTATCAGATAATAAGAAAGAAGTGAATGATAAGGATCTTATACCGGCCATAATTTCTGATGACCAGTTAGGATAATTTGTATCGTTTAACTTCTCAGTTATTGTGATCTTCAACAACGTATTGACCATGGATGAAGCAATTTGGAAATGTCGGCTGCCAAAAGCTAATGGACTAGTCGTTGTAACCACAGTAGTACCAGGTGGTGGTGCGGTTGGAGGGATTGATGTTGACATGGTTGGTAGAAGATTCTGTACAAAAGTCTTATCACTGATAGATTCAGGTTCTGATGAAGATAGAAAGTTTTCTTCTGAGTTAGAAGATATGGATGGTGTTGGTGAAGAGGTGTTCAATTCTTGTATAGGCCCAGATACGGTTTCTTCGTCATTCATCAATTGATTGAATGATTAGTCGGATCGATTTTTGTCTCCCACTACCATGTAAATGGCTAAGAAGACCGTAAGACCTATAAATGTAGTGCAGCGTATTAGCACTCTTCTCCAACAAGCTCAGGTATGCAGACCTTTGCTAACCTAAAGGTTTGGGAGGTAAAGATGAAATGAGAAACAAATAAGTAAACTCGAGAGTTTATAAGAGTTGATCTAAAGGAAGTTTCTCTTTCCAACAGATATCATATTATTAATTACTAATCAACTAACCTATAAATGTAGTGCAGCGTATTAGCACTCTTCTCCAACAAGCTCAGGTATGCAGACCTTTGCTAACCTAGAATAGATAAAGATAGAGATAATGAAAAAGAAAGACAAGTTAGACTAATGAAACGTAACAGAAAAACCAGATGAATTTGTACCTAAAGGTTTGGGAGGTAAAGATGAAATGAGAAACAAATAAGTAAACTCAAGAGTTTATAAGAGTTGATCTAAAGGAAGTTCTACATTGAATGATGTCAGTATTATGATGAAATACAAAAATTCAAGTGAAAGACTTACTCTCTTTCCAACAGATAAGGAAAGAGAGACAAAGTCGAGAAACACAGTCAACGACATATAAGAGAGAATTCTTGAGAAAACATATTGGGATTGATGTTCATCAAACTTGTTGAGAAATAAAAAAGTAATCTGAGAACGAAAAACATATGTAAAGCACTTTGCATCTAACCAAACTACATTTCGAAACCACAGTCTTGATTGTCTTTTAACAAAAACAACTTCAATACTAATAATTTCTGAATTTTTTGAGTATGTAGTACTTTTCACAACAAGTGACATGTGTTTTGCTTACCCATTTGTCTTCCTACACCAGCTTGGGTGGGCGGGCGTTTAACAAATTTTTGTAGATAAGATTTCAAGGTTCAAAAATGTTGTAGGTTACATAGAACAAGTAAAGCAAAATTATACTCTTTTGTAAGTTTAATTTTATGATGATCAAACAAAGAGACTGGGAATTCTAGGGAAACCATCACACAACGTGAATTATTATGTCTGAAACCCAATTGAGCAGAGTTGCGGTGTCCGAGTCCGCAACTTTGCTCAATCACGGGTTACGTTCACAATACGTTCACAACACGTTCACAGGGTACCCTCGAGCCGTACTATGCACACCTGTACAACCAGGTCCTCCTACGTAGTTTAACACACGCCCGACTAACCGCATCTTGCGCAAGCTGTCCCCCGGGCCCCAAAGCCTGCGCAACATGCTCAGCATTTCAAGGGTATACGCTACTTAGCGAGCCCTGAGCTCACCAGCTTAACTTCATCCAAGCCAACCGTTTCAGAAATTTTCAAAAGGCTTGTTTTGGAATTTGGGGATTACACATATAAATGTATATGTATATGTGTATTTACAATATCTGATAAATAATATTTAATACATATGAAAACTTGAACAATGGGAAGGGGCCAGAAGAGCTCGAGGGTAACCTGTGAAATTAATGTGAACGCATCACCAACATATTTACCTCGGATTTTGTAATCCGAGGTATCCTTGGATGCAAAACCTCGGACAGAAGCTTCCCGAGGTTTTGATCCGAGGTACTTCTCAGGGCAAAAAAATACCTCGGGCGAAACCCTTGGACAAGGTCTGTCCGAGGATTTGCCTCCGATGATGCCTCGGATTTCTCAACCCGAGGCATCTATGCTGGCCATTGTGAACAAAACCCGCAATTGAGCAAAGTTGCGGACTCGGACACCGCAACTCTGCTCAATTGGGTTTCGGACATAATAATTCCCGTGGTGTCATCTTTATTCATTCTAGATCTACAGTCCTATCAAGACATCTGAATAGATAGCTCATCTTGTGATGAGAGAGGCCATATACCTTAATGCTTGTCTGGCAGGAATGGATATCTTTGTGTGCCCGTATACTATTTTCCAAATGCCCTTGTCAACCCATTCTTGTTTTTCCGTGTTAATTATGGGACCCATTAATTATTACAAAGACACTGGCAGGTCTTATTGATATTTCTATGAGTACCATGGTGATATTTCACAAGTTTCTATGTGTCTACTTTGTAATTGAAAAATTTTTGCTGCAGTAGAAAAATACCGGCAAAAAAGTGAGACACAATCAGTATCATCTCAGATCATCCCACACTTCTTGTTGCCTGTTTTGCGGAGAAATCAAGACCAACGGGTGGGAACAGCGGCGACATTTGATACAAAAAACAAATCTTATGTATCAGCGGAGCTTCGCAGGAGATCTGATGAAGATTGTTGATTGTTTCAGAGAAAGCGTCGCCCAAACCACACACAAAACCGAGTCATAAGTCTCTCTACAGGTTTTGATTATCTTTCCCACCGGCAATAAGCTTGCTGAGACGTGAAGAAATCCAAGTCAGGGACTGTTGCTTCGAGGGTTTTGCTCGTGACAGAGATTAGTTTGTCAAATCAGCTGCACACCTTCCGGATAGAGTTTGATCAAGTCGTGCTTCTCAGCTTCATGTAGAGTACAAAGTGTGGTATACACAGTAGGAACATGAATTTCTAATCAATAAGTTTGATATAAGAGACCTGTGCAGTCAATGGAAAGCAAGCGATCTTCATTCTTTGCCGGCGACTTGTTTGCCAAGTGGTAACATCATTCAATTTCGAGGCACCCTCCACATTATCCTCAACATGCCTAGTGTAGTCAAAATGGTTAAAATGGCCCTTATGATCACTCTCCTCTGCTCACCAATGTTTACCTTGGTTTTGTCAGCTATACAAACATCTCGCGGTGAGCCCTAATCCGCGCTCTGATTTTTTTCCCTCCCATCCTGAATCGTCAATGTGCACTCGAAGTCGCACTGTCGTCCTCATTTCGCCTTGGTCAGAATGTTTCTGATCCCTCTGTTGACTTGCATTTGCATACCCATCTCTCGTAATTTCCAGGACTCAGCGGCGGTGAGTTAAGATATGTGATCTATAATTTTGTATCCTAAGCTAAATCGGCTGTTTCAACAGACGAAGAGGAAGCGTTCGAGGCTGCAGCTGGGTTTGTAGGGCGTCGCGCGAAATATCCCACCGGCGAAAATATGATTAGCCATTTCCTGGTTGAGCCCTTGAACAATCTAGTGGTGAAAGTCAATCGAAACGAGGTAGAAACGTATGGTAAGTACTGAAAGGCAAACATGTAAAGATGGTACAGGCCGTGATAAAGCGAAGGAGAATATTTCATTCCCGCCTCGAAATTTTGTAAATCCTGATTATATATCTTGAATACATCTATTGTCAGCTTTTCTGGATGGGGCCGGGCCCATCATTAAAGAAGGTTCTCGCCACCGAAGTAAGTCATCACTCAATTTCCAAAATCTCTTTTTGAGAATGATTTTGTTGATTTTTGTTTCATCTCGCCATAGTTGTCCAAGTTGACACCGACGAATTTCAATTCACTTGGTTTTTTCATGGATATAGAGGCCAGTTGAACCTGAAGAAGACACAGGGTTTCAAAATCCACTCTATTAACTTGTACCCTGAGTCTTAGGCTAATGTCTCCAGAAGAGGATCATGATTCGATCACTTAAACTCAGATTCAAGCTATAGGGTTCTTCTTCCTTACAATATGACAAATCTCGTCGAGTTCGTTGGAGACATATGGAATGATCTTGCTCAGTATGGTGTAATTTTTCTCTCTACTAAAGTCAATGTCTTTTTGTTTGCCGCATTCTTCTTTTTCATCAGATTGTAATTTTCTCGATCAAACCTCAGTCCTCCAGCATGTGATGAACTTCTGATCTTTCTCTCAAAGGTTCCAAAATTTTGAAATTCTATCTAGAATGACCTTGCTCGCTATCTTGTTATCCTTTTCATAGTGATGTCTTGTTGTCTCTTTCAATATTATTTTGTTCAACTTGTGATACTTTTGATCAAACCCCGGTGTCCAGCATGTAGTGAAGTCCTGATGTTTTCTCTCTTTAAGATATCACAATCCTGAATTTCTTTCAATCACAATTATAACCGCAAATGCAATATGCCAACTTTCGGCTTGTTTCATTGATTGCTTTGAGGCCACAATGAACGAGACTTTTCATGAAAAATATCTTCTACACAAAGTAGACAGTGACATTTCCCTCGTTCTTTTCTACTTGCCACGACTAGAGGCGAAAAAAGTTAGTACATGAAAACATTGGAGATTCTACCTACCCATCCAACCCTATGCATAATTAGGAGAGATCACATCATCAAAACCTAACCGAGTAAAATCATACAAAGACTCCAAATTCCCCTCAAAAGGAGTAAAACACACTCACCCCATCAACAGTCAAAGTAGTCCCATTAACATACCTACTAGCATCACTGGCCAAAAAGAGAACAGGACCGGTAAGATCGTCAGCGGAACCCCATCTACCAGCCGGAATCCTTTCCAAGATTTGTCTAGATCGAATTGGATTCTGAATCAAGTCGGTATTCATCTCAGTTTCAATATAACCAGGTGCGATAGCATTGACAGTGATATTATGAATTGCCCATTCATTACTGAGTGATTTAGTTAATGAGCTTATACCAGCTTTAGAAGCTGCATAGGCCGGTACTGTATATCCTCCCTTGTTTAATCAAAAAATCGAATATCCGATCGAATAAGTCAGGACTCTTGTTTTTTTCAATGAAATGAGATTCTAATGAGAAATGTTGATTCACCTGAAAACTAAGAAGTGATGCAAAGTTGATAATTTTTCCATATTTACGCTTAATCATATGTTTGCCCACAAGTTGACATAGTAAAAACACTGATTTGAGATTAACATCCATGACCTAAAGAATACAAAGAATCATCAATGATTGATTTTAATTTATATATGATTTTTGGAAAAAAAATATAAAAACTGACTTGATCCCATTTCATTTCACTGAATTCGACACTTTCAGCTCTATGTTGAATCCCAGCAGCATTAACCAAAATTTCAATCCCTTTCTCTTTTTTCCATTCTTCAATGATAATCTTTTCAGCTTCTTTAAAAGCTTTTTCAATCTCGACTTTTCCTTTTGATAAATCACATTCAACTCTTTGATATTTATGGCCATAAGATTTGATTTTTTCTTCCAATGATTTCGTTTCTGACGTATTTGAACGAAGGAAGAGGATTAAGTCGACTCCTGATTCTGCTAAACCTATTGCACAACTTGCTCCTATCCCTCTACTTGCACCTGTTACACATCCGAAATATAAAAGTGAAGTATGTCAATAATCAGACATCACTATCACGAGAATAGAAACATCGTTTGGTATACTGAAACGCTCAATGCATTTCAGAAAAGAACTGACCTGTGATAATAGCAGTCTTTCCAGACAGGTCGAAGGCCTTCATCATCAATATCGGTCTATGTACGTTCAGAGGGAATTACAATGTTTGTGCTACAATTCAAAATATTTGTACAAAATTCGATCGAGATTTACAAATCAAGTTATGCTTACATATGTTGATTGATGGTCGATTTGTGGATCAGTTTTGTCTCAATTGCTCCGCATAACACAAGAAGGGCCTTCAGTTGTCTCACACCTTTTCATGATCTGTTTATCTTTCTTGTTGTAGATCTTTTCTAAATTCTATTGAGAAGCTTTAAAATTCCTCCGCTTTTCTTAACCATCCTATTCGTCATACGCAAATCGTCTTCAACTTGTGTCTTCTGTTGTAACAGGTTGTAACTGCGGGTTGAGCAGTGAATTTTTATTGTAATGTTCTTTGAAAGATATCCATGAAGCTTGCTTTGACTTTTGAAATGATTGCTCCATTGCTCTGAGATGATAAGTCAGTGACGTATTAAAGTTCGATGAGTTTCATGATATCCATTGGCTGTGTTTCATAAAGAAGTCAAAAACCTTAAAGTTTCAGGTCCAAAACCTTAATGAGTGATTGTATGCATGAGCAATTGGTTTTCACCCTTCACCCTTCTTTTCTGGACAGTGACTACTTCGCAACATTTTCTTAACTTCATTATTCTCCCTTCACCTTTTCTCATATCATGCCAATCACACTGGAACACTCAACTTTTCATTCAAACCTTCAACCTAGATCAGTAGCTTCAACATTGACTCCAAATGATACTCAACTCGTCACACTTTATTTCATTGGTGGTTATATCATCTTCATCACTATAGCTTGGTAAGTTTTAAATCTATCTGGTTCTTATCAATCCTTGAAATTCAAGTTTTCATCTGACTTGATTTTGTTTAGGAATCTATGGGGATTGAGACACTTGATATACCCTTTTAAATTATTAACAGTCGCTTTTCACGAATTGTACGTGAGTTTTCGAGAGTTATCTGTTGAAACCACATTCAAGATCAACATCCAATTTCATCAGCTGATCTCGACTCTTACTTTCTTTCGCATTTCTTAGCTCTCATGCTGCTGTAGGATGTTGTACAGGTGCGAAGATTGAAAGTATTACACTAGATCCAAATGGTTAGTTCATCCCCTCAACTGAAGACGTTCTTTTGAACCTCTTTACTGATCAGGTTTTTTCTGAAACCACAGAGGGCGGTTTGACAAGGATGAGAGGAGGTGTACAAGCTTGTACATTACCAGCTGGTTATCTTGGATCTTCACTCATCGGTGCACTTTTGATCTTTACCGGTTTCGACATCGTCGCTTCAAAGGTTTTTCTTTTTCATCCGAGGCATCTGGATTTCTAAACATCACTACATTCACATACTGAAACACTGTATCTCACTATTGAAACACAGGTGGCTAGTATAGCTCTAGCGATTGTCTTATTGATCACACTGTGGTGGGCTAGGAATTGGTTGACCAGGGGCGTGGTAGTAGGTGCAATCGGTTTGATGGTCGCGTTCTGGTAGGTCATGAGCTGGATATTCAATTAAGCAAATGTCTAGTATGTTGATATCAAGCAATTCACAGGTTCATCGATCATGGCAATCCTTTGCGCTTCTATGTACTCTTCAATGGGGTGATGTCATGTCTATATAGCGTTTGGGATATCATGGATGATTTGATTTTCAGAAAGGTCAATGAGAGTGATGCAAGTCAATTTGCAAAGCTTTGCCCTGTGATCCCAAGTAGTAGGGTCTGGGGTGTCATCTGGTCCGTTGATTTTGCACTCTGTATTGTCTTCAATCGCATCATAGCATTCATCATCATGCTTCTTTTCCAGGCTCTTGATTTCTGTTATTTTTATGGCTGGGGGAGTTTTGGCTGGATTGGCAGCATTTAAGGAGAGCTCGAGTGAACAGACAGCTGCATCTCAAGGTTCGTTGATCTTCAGGACTGCTTTTCTACTAACTCACGGAACTACTAGTCTAAGACTCATTTGAACCTCACTTTTGTGGGCTGTTGACCTGTAGGTTTTCTTCCAACAAGGTTTTGATGACTGCAACTCAGAATGGAGTTTGTCATTTTTTTGGATTGCTAGAAATATATATATTGCGGATGGTTTGGATAACTTCTTGTCTCACTGTAGCCCTCGGATATCTGTAACTTTGTATGTATTTTACTGGTCAATTTAGATCAAGTTTCACAAGGACAATAAGGACCAGGCGCAGGGAGGCCACCTTTTCTCGTCTCCTTACCTGATTTTGTCCTATCAGAGCCGATTTTGAGTTTGGGATCGGCGATGATCAGCGCCGACGTTCAACTGCGTAACGAGTGACATGCAACTAGCTGTCACCTGGCGACCTATCTATTCCCATGCACGATATCCAGATGTCACACTAGGGACTTCTGGTCCGGGTGAGGTCTTCCTGATGCTTTGGCGTACGATATGTTCCTGATCAGTCATCAACCAAACGTTTCACTTCCACACCGCGTTCGTGCTCGAATGGGCTCCGTACTATTCCATCCCAACGGTCTGCCTCGTTCTAGGTTGACGGCTTTATCCAACTCGACACTCATGTTTTCTTGGTGGTACCTATACCAGATTGAAGACCTTCGCGAAATCCTTCAGTACTTGACCTGGTTGGAGCGACTGGGAGGAGAACCGCTACCCAACCTTTCGGCTCGACGAGTTCATGTGGAAACTTGGCACCCACATATCTCCAAGCTGACCACCTGATTTTATCCCGATGAGATCTTGGAGATTCACCACTGGGGTGGCTTCCCGGACTCTATCATACTGCCGAACCAAGCTAGAGAAGTGGGTAGCACCGCTCTCGCCATCTATATGGCCCGTTTGGCCACACCTTCCCGATACTTCGACCTTTCCCACATCTTCGGGCGCGACCTTTCCACAATTGGCCGTATCTGCCGTTGGGTCCAAGGTTGGATCTATGAAGACTGGGGCCCTCTGTTGCGATGGGATCGAAGACGTTATCCGCCAGCCGTTTTGGAAGGTTTTGCGGCGAGTTTGGTGGAGGCTAAGGATTGTCCTATGGACAATTGCGTGGGTTTTTTGGATGGTCAGTTGTTTTTCTCAACATCAAGTTGGATTCATAGATGGTTGATGTTCTACTTCCAGGAACGGTTTGGCGGATTGCACGCCCCAAGTACAATCAGCGGGCGTTCTATAACGGCCACAAGCGGGTTCACAGCCTGAAATATCAGGCTGTAGTCACACCCGAGTGAGTGATTTTCTTTACGGTCTTTTTGGTGATGTCCGATATCAATCGGTGCTGCTGTTTGTTCAACAGTGGTATGACTGCCGATTTGACGGAGGCGTTTATCGGTTCGCGCCACGATACTGCGATTTTAAGGATGTCGGGTCTGACGGAGGTTCTCGAACGTGATGCTAAAGGTTTTGGGGGTCGCCAAATGATGCTTTATGGCGATCAAGGCTATCAGAACTCCGCCGTCATGCTAACTCCATATGGCGGCAACAATCTGGCTCCCCATCAAACTTGGTTCAATCAAGTCATGGCGAGTGTGCGAATCTTGGTCGAACACGAATTTGGTCGCATGCATAACATCCTCCGGATGTCTCAGTACAAAGGTGAGTGGGCAGTGTGTTGTGTACAGTGTGATTGGTCATAGACTAATGAAATCACTGGGCACTGGATTTCATAGACAACCTCCGTTTCTATGTGAATGACCTGAACTCTTTATATCACTGCGCGGTCCTCCTCAAAAACCTGTTGATATGTTGTGGCCGTGGCCCGCTGGGAGGTGTGGCAGCTCCACCAAGCTTGGAGCAATATTTGCGAATGGCGCAACCAAATCAGCAGGGTTGAGCAGTTTAATAGTTGATTGCGTAGGCAAAACTTCAATGTAATCGTTATATCGTGATCTATCTCATGTTGTGTTAGGATGAAATGAATGTGTGTTGCAATGTGATACTTATGGACCGACCCAGTTCTCTTATGCAAAATAGAACTTTGAAGTTGATGATGAAAATAATCATCATCTTCATTCCAATGATCACGAAAACTTTCATCATCATCTTCATTAAGATGATGAAAGTCAATGATCACGAATACTTTCATCATCTTCTTCATTAAGATGATGAAAGTAATCACCATCATCATCCCAAAGACAATGTTGATGATGATGTGGGAAGGGCAAATCGGCGCACATTGGTCATTTGTAACCAGTGTGGCAGTCTCGGTGAGCTCAAATTCTCAAAGGACATGGTGTAACGAGGTCCTCGTGATTCTACTGTAGTAGTATCACAGTTGTGTACAATTAAAGTGATGATGTTATATTCACTTGCGCACTTCATGTCTTCGACAATGAGGGCACAGTTTGCCTTTTTAATCGACAACACTATTAACAAGACCTGGGCGAGAAGTGGGGCGTAGGAATACAAAGGAAGACGAAATGAGGTCTCCAAGCACAAAGATTTGGATACAACCGTGTCAACAGTCAGTCGAGCGGGTCACCATAGCCTTTCCGATTGATGTTATTTGGAAAAGGGTGCTACCTGGAAAGAACAAAAGAGGTGGTCAGTTCCGAAAGGCAAGTGATTGAAACCAGTAGGTTGACCTACTGTGTTCAATAGCTCAGCCTTGAGCAGCAGGCTTGCATTCGGCTAACATCTTCAGGACCGAACTCATTTCATTGAGTGAGCCTTGCACACTCGCCATTGAGTTTTTAAGCTTGTTGATCTGGTGACCATTGGACTCCTTGTCTTTCCGAGCCTCTTGCAACTCATCACGCCGCAACTGGAGCGATTCGCGAGCCATTTCCGAATCAAGATCAAGTCGGGCCTGGAATTGTCCCAATTCCCGTTCGCGCTGGAGATTGGTGACCTTTGTCTGTTCCAGGTGTTGTTCAAGGGCTTGAGAGGTGAGCTCGTTTGCCTTCTCCGCGGCCTGGCTGCTTTTGAGGGTGACATTCACCATGTGACTAACTGAGTCATCACCCTCCAATTTCTTCATCAGACTTTGTTATATCACCTTCATAGAATTCCAAGGCTTTGGTCCGCCATCGGGGTCATCAGAATTTCCCTCTTTGTCGAGGTCGACTTGGGTTCGAGGTGGCGCTGAGTGAGGCCGGATTGCGCGTTCGTCACGGAGTTCATTGGCACGAGCCAAAGTCCTCGCGGCGGCCTCTTTTGCAGCCTTGGCAGCTTGAACACTGACACTTAATTCCTAATCTCAGGCCCATTTCGTCAGAATAACACCTCAGAGGCGGAAACACATATAGGTGAGCAAGAGTGATATCATAAACTTACGTGTTCCTGTTCCAAGAAAGCCTGAAGTAATTCACGCAGGTGTTCATCGGTCTCTTGAGTACCACTTGCGCGTGCTGAGGCCGCTTCGACTTGGGGCAGCCAGGTCTTAGAGAGGTAGTTGTAGCGGTTCCGAAGCGTAGTGGTCCTCGGGTTGGATGACAAATTGTCAAACATGCCGGCCGATGCGGGTAGACGCTTATTTGAAAGAGTGTCAGTTGGAATAGGGCCACACGTAATGTAACGGTCATACGACAAGGAGGGCTTACCTTGATAAACTCCGTGCACCTATGGAACCGTTTGTTTTGTTCTTTGTGAACAGCAAAGGGACGAAATGAAGCCAAATACCCCAGCCAGAATACGTCAACATGACCGGGAGGACCCCATCGCATACGAGCAGGAGTTGGTGCCTTCGAACCAGAGGAGGCGTTTGAGGTGGAGCAGGCCTGACCTTGAGGCTCGGGGATAGCAGAAGAGGTTGAAGGGCCCGAACTGGGAACAGGTGGCATGGCCACCGCCGGAGGAATAGACCGGGGTGGTGGGGATGGACCTTGAGCCAACCGCGTCATCCGCTCGATCCAGGAGGGCTGTTCGACACTATTCATGTTGCGAGCAACCAGAGGGGACTGAGCAGGTGAGCGGGTCATCACTGCCGAAGAATGTGGAGGGGCTGAGGGGCTCGACAACAATCGACCGAAAGGGCGATATTGAATCGTAGGCGTGACTTTTGGTGCCATGGCCGCCACCTGAGCAGGCTGAGCGGCCATGGCCTCCACAGGACGTGAGGCTGAGGGCGACTCCTCTGGTTGAGAGCGTGTAGGGCCGCGAGGTGGCTTACGAACGCGGTTCGACTGTAACGATGGTGGTTGGGCAGCCGAACCACTGGTACGTCTTTGGGTTCGCGCACCATCATCCTCATCACCTCGAAGGTTGACTGGAGAAACCTTCCTAATGTTGGTCGTCCTGTTAGAAGAAGGGGTGGGGGTAGCTAACAGATCGGCCGATGGCTCCTCAGCTCTCTGCCTGCGATCCGCGCTTAACCGGGCAGCTACAACAAGCCAGAAACACTGCATCAGCCTCGAAAAATTTGGGGTTCACACGAGAAATCGGAAACCAACCTGAAGGACCCAGGTGAACCGGTGTGTTCTCTTCATCCGAATCCACCAGCAGGTCTTGCATGACCTCGTCCTCCCCAGATGAGGAGTGTGGGCGTTCGGGTCGAAGGACGTCGAGGTTGTATCGCGCAGATGCAGCCGCCTCTTGTCTGGGTGTGGTGCCATCTCGTGCCCATGGCAGGGGATCAGTTTGATGATTCAAACCGTTCAAAGCCCTGGCGGCATTACACACGCCATTGAATGACACAGCGAGGTTGTCATCGGAAATGACTCTTTTCGAGCGCCAGTTGAGAATGTCAGCGTAGTCCTCCCTCGACCTCCATGTCGGACGAGAGCAGTCGTGGGTGAATGTTTCAGCCGGTAGTTGGCCAGGCCTACGGTAGAGCAGAACCAATCCTTGGTTTGAGCAATTGAGTAGTGGAATGCCCTCACCGGAAGACTCACCTGGGCCCGCTGGGTACCCATACGCCACCTGGAGCTGCCATAAACCTCTCATGGTGGCTCGGTGGCGCGTCCATCGAGTTTGGCAACGCCTCACTATGAGCGACGATTCCAGGTTGTGCAGCCTGCACAACCATCCAATGAACAGACGTCAACCCCTTATACAAGATTTGACATCAAGTATAACACAACCCTTACCGGTAGTTGAGGTCGCGTGCCTTGGAGGTTTACACCTCCATCTACTGCTGGGACCGGTGAGGCCGTTGATAATAATGTAGGCAATTCAGAGGTGATCTGATAAGAATCACGTATTAGTGATGTAAGCGAGCGCAAAGGCTGAGAATCACTAATGAGTGATGAGAAGAAG